ATAGCTATATCTCAATAATTAATTTTTTTACATTTTATTAAAAATATTAATTATTTTTAAATTTTAAATAAAATGTAAAAAAAAAATCTAAGATAGCTATTTTGTAGAGTAGAATTTAAGAAAAATTTTAGTAAAAAAATATCTTATTAATATTCAGTAGTAAATATTCTGTAGCGTTTTGAAGTTTGTGAAACTTTGAATTATCATGTATTATTTTACGGTATTAAACATTGAAATACGTATTGAGAAAAGAACAGAAGAAAACGCTATCTTTTCATGTATACTGTGTATACATATGATGATAATGTGTATACATTACAAACTTGGCATTAATACCATGATAAGAAATTAGATAAGGCAATTATTACTTATCACTCTCATTCAAAAGTATATTGAAAAGAAAAGTATATTATTTAGTAAAATTTTACGTTACAGAGGATTAGCTAATTATTGTAAAATATACCAAATATATAGAACATGGCAGGAAGAATGTTGTCAAATGGTCTTAGTATAATTGATGTAAAATTTGACTAGCAATCAATAGAAGGTTTTTTTATTTTAAGAAATATAGGACTTTTTTTTATTTTAGAAAAAAATTTGAACACAGTTTAAAATAGTTCCCGAACAATTCCAAATGTTTTGAAAACTAAAATTTTAGGCGTTAAAGATTTATAGATCAATAGAATACAACTCATAAATTGAAATACTTAAAATTATCATTAATTTGTAAATATTACGTCATGAATAAGTGTAATAATAAATATTATATTTAAATATTATTCTGAGTAACGAATTCTAGAGTGCTAATAATTAAGTTTCAATTAATAGGACTACTTGTATTAATGCACATTTAGTGTAATTTTTTGAAAGTCTCGAATTTCTTTACTAATAATAGCAATTTTAAAGGGACTATATTTTATCTAATAACGCTTGTATGAAACATAGATATAATTTTTATATTGGGATAGACTGTTAACTTGAATAAATATGAAAAATTGCCTGTTTAATAAAATCAATCATTTGATATTATCAGTATATTAACTTATGTTATGTACCTAATCAACATATTATTTTGAGAAGTTTACATTATATTGTGTTCAAGCTATCATACAGAGTAGTTTTCATAAGTATATTTAATTTAAAATTTATATAAAACAGTCCGGTAAAATGGACATAGACAATGTTCAAAAAAGCCATGCCTTTTAACGAGAAAATTCACATATAAAAATTAAAATAAGCATTGTGAACGTAACAATTCATTAAAATTGTTCATATTTCTTTAAATATATTGATTTATAATGTATTATGTAAAATATAAAGGTATCTTTTCATTAACTTAGAAGAATGATAAAACAGAAAATTAGTTTCTGAAAATATAATATTTTTCTTTTTCCTCGCCTCCAAAGGCAAAGAAAAAGAAGGCTTTTGAAAATAATTCATCAACTGCTTAACAATGAAAATCAATGGATTTTTCTTGTACATATATTTTACTATATTGATTTCCAAGACACAAAACTCAATTTACTTTCTTTCTCTGTTTTCCGTTTAAATAATTTTAATGACAAAAAAATTAGTAGTCAAATATTTTAAAACCATATTGATTTATATTTAGATTTTATCCTTTTCTCAGTAAAAAAAATTCTTCGTTTAAATTCTAATAAGAAACCGGTAAAAATAAAATTTACTGCGGGAGTCGATTTAATTCGTGTATGAAATTACATTTCAATTTTAACCATTAAAAATATTAAATAGATAACAGTTATAATAAAATGTTCTTAAAATACGAAGTAATAAAATAAATTACATAAATTCTACTTAATAAAAAGTCTAAAAAATAGATTCGACCAACTTTTGAAGGTTAATGAATTCATGAAAATTACCGTCCCTACCAATCACTGTCAATGTTTAATATGTAATCTAACATAAAAATTATCATAGGCTATAGTTTAAATTCAAAATCAAATGGTCAAAAAATTTTAATTAGTTAACGTTACCTATTACTAACGTTCTATAGGAATTACTTCAAATGTATTTATTATAATGGTTTTTCCAGTTAAAACAATGACGTAAACAATATTATAATTAATAACGTTAAATTACAATAATTTTTTTTACAGAAAAATCAGTGTATAAATATAAACCATTATGATTTATCTATAACACAGTACGTATATTGGAAAGTACAGTACGTAATCTAATAATTAGACACTAATAAGACATTAAAAGATCATTCAGAAGAAACTAGTACCCGCGGCCTTCACAGTTGGACGCATG